GAAAGCTCCAGTTACAAATACACAACACAAATGTTGTGCTCTAAAGTGATCATAGAAAAAAATAGAACAAGGGCTACTATCCAGGATGTTCTAAGATGAATCAAGATGAAAAAATTCTTCTCTTTACTGCATCAAGATCAACAAAGCTTATGAAGAAGAAGACTTCAAAAATTCAAGTACTTTGGGCTATTGTTTGAGAAGAAGCTACTTGAAGAAAAGAAGTCCACACATCAAGATACAATACAATATAATATTTTTAGTGTGTATTAGGATCTTCTGATGTATGCTTAAATTTTGTTTACATCCAACTTGTGTATAAGCATATTATTATAAATAAATTTAAATCAAACAATTGTTTGATGATACTTTGAGAGGTTGAGTGAAGGTATGTGCTTAAGAAGATAGTGATTGAAGGTCATTATGAAATCCTGGTTGTGGATTCTATTGCATCAATGGTAGTTGTGATACGGTGGGAGAACTGACTTGTTGGTTTTACGTTTGATCGCAAATGTTGCGGTTAGCAAGAGTCGCCACCGACTTTTCTTTTATCCAAAAGGAAAGGTGAAAAAGCATAGTAAAGACCTTTGAGATTATTTCTTGAGTTCGGGGGGTAGATTATGAAAAATGAAGGTATTAGCACCATTTTCATCCATGGTTTTCCACGGGATATTAGTTACTTGCTAGATCACTTGCTTTTGTTTGAAATTGTGCTTTGTGTGATTTTTTAAAGTATTTTGTAAAGAGGCCATTATTTAGGAAATCTTTGTAATGATTCTCGTTCGTAATAATGTATACAAAGATGTTGATCTTTTTGAAAATGTTTTCAAGTTTGTATGATGTTTGAAAGTGTAGGTGTTTATTTTGAAAATAGCAAGGATGCTTTGTTTGAAATTAAGCAAGTAATTAGGAGTATTCTACCTACTCAAAAGTCTTTCTTGTTCATTTTCTTTTCCTTTGACATTGTTATCTTACCATTGATTTGGTAAGTAATCCTATCTTTGGATATAATCGGGACGGGTGTGGGTCATCGTATAACCATGATTAGCAATGTTACAAAGTATCTTAACATTCTTTTTTAGGGACTAAGATCATTTGAAAGGCAACTTAGATAGCGTCGTCGAGGGACTATGATCTTGTATTTTATTTGTTTTTGCTAAGATACCTCACATGCGTAATATGGCCATTTTGTAAAGGCAACCAAGTGGACTTACCCTAGGGGGTATTTGTGTGCAAGTGTATTGTTTTCATGCTTAATTTTATCTTGATTTAGGATTTTCTAAGTATTGGTTTTAGTCTTTCCATACAAACCCTAATTACTAGCATGTTATATATAAAGCGATAAATTGCAGAATTTAAAGTTACTACGCTATTACAATACTTGTGGGAGAGGGTATATAAATTGTAAATGGGGATTGCAAGAATTTAAACCTAATTAGCCTATTACAACCATATTGAATTGGTATAAATGTACAAGAATTTAAATGAATATAATGTACAAAATGAATAAATGTACAAAAATGTGAAATGTAAAGTAAATGGATATTTGTTTGAATTTTTTATGAGAAAAATGATTTTGTTTTAATCTAATTAATTAAAAGAAAATAATTAATTAAACCTAAATTTATTAGGAGAAGATTTTAAATAAAACCTTATGTCTATTAATTAAAAAGAAATTAAGTTTTATAAGAAAAGTATTTTTGGTATTTTTGTCTTGAAAACAATTATAGTGTTATAAAATATTTTTGGCCTTTTTAATATTAAAATAATATATTTTAATTGGTGTAAAAGAAAATAATTAATGACCTAGTTTTAATTAAATTTACAAGATAATAAGTAAAAATAAATAAAGTATGATTAATAAAATAATTTTGTGTGAGAAAAATAAATAAACTAAGTTAAAATATAAATATAATATTTTTGTATTTTTTATGATTTTTTTTAGCATTAGGAAAAAAATTTAAGAAAATAAATGAAATAAAAATAAGAAAATAAAATAAACTAGGCCACAGGCGCAAATATGAAACAGGGAGTTAGCTAGCAAAAAAAACAAAAAAACAAAACAAGCCCAAAGAGGCCCAGCGCCTGTCCAAAAAAAATAAAGTCAGAATGCAAAAATATGAAAAAACAAAAGAGTACCACTGGGGCTCGAATCCAGGTCCCAAAGGTTACAAGCGCGCGCTTCTACCACTGGGGTGGCTATACATCTGTTAACATAAGCAAATCAATAAATATATGATACAAAGCGCGCCCTGATTACTTCATCTTCAACCTCCAGCCAGACCAACTGTAACTTGTTCATTTCTCATCAAAAATGAAAACTGTAAACATGAAACTTGTAGCAAATTTCCTCACGGTTTCAAAAATGTAAAGCATTAAAACTATAGATCAAAGATAAGCATGAATTTTATTGGCCCTAATCTGAACCCTAAAAATCTCAGAAACTTCAATCTTAAAATTCTCTAAGCTTAAGCAAAATCAATGGAAACTATGGACATGGTTAACTTTAGGGTAATGATATCGACATGTTTTATTCACAAATGAACCATTGATAATGCCTGTATGAAAAGTTCCAAAGTTAGAAAACTTACCTTGCAAGAGGGTATCGAGTTTGAAGTTTGAGCAGCTTTCAAGGAGTTCCAATGGTTGGGTTAGCTTCCTCAAGTTTCCAGGAAGCTAATGGAATGCTTGGCTTGAGCTGAAAGGGCCTGAGAAGTTCTGGAGAAGTCCAAGTGTAAAACTCTGTTTTTGAAAATGGAGGATGGTGTTAATGGTGTTACATTTCTGTAACAGGATGTGAGATCAGTTCTAAATGATGTTTAGAAGCTTTAGAAACAAAAAGGCTTGAAACTGCACGAGGGAGTTATGAGTTTCAATTTTTTGGTCAGTTTATGTGAAAATGAAAGTATGAGACATGTTTATGAGTTCTAGGTGTTTTTCAGGGCATGAGCCTTCGTGTATTTGATGTAAATAGTTTGTGTATCTATAAGCAAAAGGATTGGAGTGCATTGGCAAGTCAGAAGTACAAGTTACAAGTTTTTTGCTAGGTTACTTGATTTTAAAGAAAAGTGGGAAACAAGTTTCAAGAGGAGGTACAAGCATGGGTTGGGTGATTGTAAGTGTCTAAACCATTTCTCATGAGTTATAGGACTTGTGTGATCAGAAGAGAACAAGTTCAAGGCTCAAGAACAAGTTTTATGCAAAAAAGCACTTTATCGAAATGGCAATGTAACCTTTCTTTCAAAAATGGATATAAAGCATGTCCATACATTGAATGCTTGAAATGAGACCTCTAACAGCTGTGCAAGCCATTAATTATGGAGTGCCTAACAAGTTTGAGGCCTGAAAAATAGAGTTCTATACTTCTCAAGGATACATACCTAACTGTCCCCTTAAGGAAAATCAAACAATTGTTTGAATACATGTTTTGTTTACAATAATATTGCTTCTACACAAGCTGAATATGTAAACTATTTTAAGAACAATAGACTAAAAATATTAAAGCTATGAACAACACTTTGTGCGTAGATATTTCGTTGATTTTCCTACTTTTTCTCTTAGTCTTCAAGCCTTTATATAGCCAATAAATAATATATCCACTGAGGGATACTCTTGGGATTTCTAGAATCATTGGTGGCTTGAGCAATAACGTGTGGGACAAGATCGTGCAACGCGTCCGTCCTTTCATGGTATTGGAATGAAACGTTGATTGTACCATGTACTATTTGTACCATATTAATGTTATCTTCTTTCCTTCTGCACTTCAGAGGCTTCTGCGAGCATGAGTTTAGGAGCAAGAACATAACACAAGGTCATCAGAACTACAAGTCTTAGAGTCTTCAGAACTGCATTTTCAAAATCTTCAGCACTTGGTCGTGAGAACCTTTTCTAGAACCTTGGATATTTAGAACTTCATCTCTTCAGAGACTTTAAAACTTCTTTCTTCAGAGTCTTTAGCACTTGGTCTTCAGAACCCTTCTCTTAGAATCTTGGATCTTTAGAAACCCGGGTCTTTAGCATATGGACTTAAGTAGAATTTCTTGTCTTCAGATCTTCTGACTATTTCTTTAGAACCTGTTGTCTTCAGAAATATGAGTCTTCAACATCTGGATTTAAGTAGAAACTTCTGTCTTCATATTTTCTGACTTGTTTCTTTAGAGCATGTTGTTTTTAGAAGCATGAGTCTTCAGCATCTGGACATAAATAGAACTTATGAATTCAGATCTCCTGACTTGTTTCTTAAGACAAACATCAGAGCCTACACTTCAGAAGCTTCTGGAGTATCTTGCTACTGCTTATCAAAACTTGCATAGCGCAGAAGCGGAATTAATTCTCTTCTAATGTCTTTTCCATGTCATCCATCAAAAGAAGAACCTCTTTGTTAAATTACTCAAAAATAACAAACATTAGAGTATCAAAATTGTTCATACAAATATACTCATTTATTTATCATCAAAACTCAGAGATAATATTGCAGAACCAAATCTTGTTCTAACACACCATTACTATTATTGGGAAACCACTTGCATTTAAATAAAGCCACTTTGAAAATAACATAACCAATCTCTTAAATCTCATCAATGACACCATAAATCGCGGTAGTTGCCAATAGATGATTCTTATCTTTCGAACTAGAGAAATACATCGACCCGGCGTCAACCATAACCCCATTTTTTGCATTATACTACGATCATCTTTTGATTTTGTATAAAAAGCATACTGACCAATGTCGTATACAGTCCAAGTAATGACACAAAATTTTGGCTCGTACGATAATTGTAACACCCTATTTTCCCGTCGGTAATTTATATAATAATCAGAGTAAATTAATTTCTAAATAAACATCAATCAAATACGATGTCACATACTTCGCCACTCATACATGCTCAAATTCGGATACATAATTAATTCAAACCATATGCAATAAACAGGTCCCACTTAATACAACAAATATTTTGTTCTTTTTCTTTTTCCTCATTACAGTGTAGCAAAAGAAGTCTCACTCAAGAACATATCAAGCCCATCTGGTTCAAAAAGCAACCCTTCGTGCAGCCGCTGCCATCTCGCCGCCGAATGTCATCAACGGTAGTCATTATCGAATATACGCGACTTCTGACGAAAAGATCCGAGACACCAAAACGCCTCCGGATCTCCGACGCTTCCCGCATTTCCAGATCTTGCCTCCGCGACACCTTACTCTCCATCACTCACCGATCTGAAGCATAGCTGTGAATCATAACAAACACCGTCAAACCACTGCATCCACCTCAGACTCACAATCACCATACATCTATTTGTCTCTCCCGTCGGCCATGACAACAACAAACATTTGATTTGCAACACAACATTGCTTCTCCAGGTCTGCAACGCCAACCGCGATCTCGCAAGCCCATCCGTCGTACCACCGCACAGGAACACGGAAACCACCATCACCGTCACTATCATCGTTTCTTCCCAACCACCACAACCTAACTCGCCGCGGTTTTGGTATGTATATTTATATTGGTTTTGTGTTTCATCAAGTGCATGCTTGGGGGTTTTGTTTGTGTGTTTAGAGAGAAGAAGAAAGATACCCAAGAAAATATAGAAAGGTTTATTAAAGAAAAAAGAAGAAGATAATGGTCTGAAAGAAATAGAAAAACAGAAACGTGAGTTTCTCTCCCAATACCTATTTTGTATGTCATTTTTTTGTTTGATTTTTTTATTATTTTTCTTTATACCAAGTGTCAATACAAGGGTGGTCCCTTTGAATTTTTTTAAGAAACCTACAGTGAGGAATAGGAAGCGGCGCCTATGTACTGGATGCATAACTTTTATCAATTTTTTTTTGTTTAATTTTAATTTAAGGTATTCATTTGTTATGATAAATTAGGTGTAGAATGAATGTACTTTGGGCTTTAGATTTTTGAGTTTCTCTTGTGTTTATTTGCACCGCTAACCCATTTACTTAATCTCATTCTACCAATCTAATTATTTCATGTGAATTGTTTTATTTAATCACTAAATTTTATTTTAATTAGTTCTAACAATTTATTACGTCTTATTTAATTTAATTATAATTCAAATTTTTTCTTTAAATAAATTAATTCACACATCCTATGAATAATAGGATGTCCCTCTTCGAATAACTAAATCGGTCGACATATTGTCTACCGGTTTATTATTCAAAATTAAATATTAAAACTCACACAATTCCAAATATTCCATCTGTAAGCGGCAGGTGGCCAATATCTGGCCACGTGATGAGGAGTCTATATCAGACTCCCCCGCTCTGCGTCTTAAAACAAACCAATCTCAAATCGTTTTTTACTGACATAACAATCAAATTCAAGAACATTTTTCAAATAAGGATCAAATAGTATCGTCTTCAAATCAAACTACGAATTGCGTCTACGATCACTCAACTTACAACCAAGAGAAGGTTCAAGGTTACTTCGAAAGTAATTCTACGCAATCTTATAAAAAACACTAAACAACCGCTAACTACGAAATGAGACTCTGATTCCTCCTAAGAGGATACATAGGCATACGATAAAAAATCATGGCGAGTTCCCCTAACAAAAATTAAAACCATTTTTCCTAATTATATTTGAAAACCCTATTTCTCAAACATCGCGCTTCTAAACCTAGTATCCTTGCGAGCAAGGTAGATAAGGGGGTTCCTAACACCTTCCCCTCGTCTAGAACCGAGTCCAAATCTAGAATCTTTGAACTTTAGGGTTATTCCTTTATATTCCCTTCCTTTAGGATAAAAATTAAGGGTGGCGACTCTGATTAAAAAACCAGTTGCAACAGATACGCAACATAAATCATGGAGAAATCAAAACATACGATTATACAACCTAAACTCTATCATACCCCATCATTAGGAAAACTCTTATAGAGTTAGAATCCCCCTACCTTAGGTTCTTGGTTGATTCTTGATTCCTACGGATGGAACTTCTTGCCCTAACTTCCTAGTGCTCTTTCTCCTCTTCTCTCTTCTACGCTTCTCTTTCTCTGTTTCTACGTACCGACTATTTTTTCCTTATTCTTACTATAATATATCCCAATAATTAATTATAACCTTAGTCTTCCCAATTAAATAATTATTTAATTATTATTACAAAATAATAATAATTATCCTAATATTATAATAATAATAATAATAATACTAAAAATCCATATTGTTCTACACACCTCTACGTTTCTACACAATTAGCCAAACACCCCCATCACCTCAATTTCTATAATTCTAGCCCCCAACAAGGTCTCGCACCACATCATAATTTCTACCAACTCATATAATTTCACTGCATCATCTTATTTATTAATTAAAAATAATTCTAATTAAGTCGGGGTGTTACAACTCTTCCCCACTTAGAATATTTGCATCCTAGAAAATTACTTGAAGCAAATAACACTGGATAAGCCTCCCGCAATTTTCTCTCTAGCTCCTACGTCACATTCTCTCTGGTAGCTCTACCCAAAACCACTTTCACAAGAGAGATCTCTTTGCCTCTGAGCTTCTTTGTTTCGCGATCCTCGACCCTCATAAGTACAGTCTCAATAGTAAGATTGTCCTGCACTTGTACGTCATCTATCAGAATTACATGTGACAGGTCTGAAATGTATTTCCGGAGTTGCGACCCATGGAACACATCATGCATATTTGACAAGTTAGGTGGCAAGGCCACTCTATAAGCAACACTACCTACTTTCTGTGAAATCTGATACGGGTCAATAAACCGAGAAGTCAACTACTTTGACTTCTGAGTGCAACCTACACTGGTTATCGATGATACTCTAAAGAATACATGGTCTCCCCCTTGAAGCTCAAGATCCTTCCTCCTCTTATCATGGTAACTCTTCTTCCTACTCTGTGAAGCTTTCATCTTTTCTTGGATTACCTTTATTTTCACCGTAGTCTCTCTCACCATCTCGGGTCCGAGCACCACATGCTCACCCGATTTATACCAACACAAAGGTGTTCTGCACCTCCGGCCGCACAGTTCTTCGAAGGGTGCCATACCAATACTAGCATGGTAACTATTGTTATAGGTGAAATCAATCAAAGGAAGACAACTATCCCAAGTACCTCATTTCTCAAGAACACAGGCCCTCAACAAATCTTCTAGCGAATGAATAGTTCTTTCCGTCTGACCATTTATCTATGGATGATATGTCGAACTCAATTTTAGCTTCGACCCCAAAGCATCCTGCAAACTCTTCCAAAAAGCAGAGGTAAACCTCAGATCTCTATCCGACACAATGCTAGAAGGAACACCGCGTAGCTTCACAATTACCCGAATATAAATCTCCGCCAACTTTGAAACAGGAAAATTGATACTAGTCGGAATGAAATGAGCTGATTTCATTAATCTATCAACAATCACCCAAATCACATTGTGGCCTCTTGGAGTACTGTGCAGCCCCATCACAAAGTCCATAGATATGCTATCCCATTTCCATTCTGGAACGTCTAAAGGTTCCAACAACCTTGCAGGTTTTTTATATACAACTTTCAATTTTTTGACAAGTCAAACACGCATACACAAATTGTGCCACATCTCGCTTTAACTCGGACCACCAAAATAACTTCTTTAAGTCGTGATACATCTTGGTATCTCCCGGATGAATACTCAAATTTTTTATATGGCCCTCTTCTAGAATCGTGTTCTTCATATCGGCATTATTAGGGATACAAATCTTATTTCAGAATCGTAACACACCTTGGGCATCTAGTTTAAAGTCACTGTCTTCAGATTTGATACTCTTGACCATCAAATCTACCAACTTCACATCTAACTTTTGAACTTCTTTAATATTATCCAAGAAGTCATTGTTAATCTTCAACATCCCCAACATCACACTCTGCGGTGTCATTTCATAGACTAAACTCATCTCTCTGAATTGTTCGATCAACTCTAGTTCTCTAACCATCATAGCAGACATATGCAAGGTCTTCCGACTCAAGGCGTCTGCTACAACATTAGCTTTACCTGGATGATAATTCAAGCCAAAGTCATAATCCTTCAACAATTCCAACCATCTCCTCTTCCTCATGTTCAATTCCTTCTGATCAAATAGATACCACAAGCTCTTATGATCGCTAAACACTTCAAACCTAGAGCCATAGAGATAATGTCTCCAAATCTTCAGCACAAACACTAATGCAACTAAGTCTAGATTATGGGTAGGATAGTTTCTTTCATGAATCCTCAATTTCCTCGACGCATAAGCGACTACCTTATCATTCGGAACGAGTACACCACCTAAACCCAATTTAGAAGCATCACAATATACAACGAACAATTATTTAGGATTAGGTAATATCAAAATTGGAGCCATCGTCAATCGCTTCTTTAACTCAACAAAACTCTCTTCACATTGGATGTCCCACACAAGTGCTCTGCCTTTACAAGTTATTTGAGTTAACGAAAGTGCGAACTTAGAAAAACCTTCAACAAATCTTCTATAATAGCCAGCAAAACCCAAAAGGCCTCTAATCTCTGTAACTGATTTAAGAGCTTCCCACTGTAACACTGCATCTACTTTAGATGGATCTACAACAATATTATCACCTAAAATAACATGACCAAGAAAACTGACTTATGTCAACCAGAACTCACATTTTGACAACTTTGCATATAAATTCTTCTCTTTCAATACTTGCAATACAATCCACAAATGTTCCGCATGTTATCCTTCGGACTTAGAATAAATCAAAATATCATTGATGAATACTACAACAAATCAGTCTAAATAAGTGTTAAAGATGCGGTTCATATATTCCATAAACACTCCCGATATGTTGGTAACACCGAAAGGCATCACGGAATACTCGTAATGTCCATACCGAGTTCTGAAAGTTGTCTTCTAAATGTCCTCATATTTTACTTGAATATGATGATAACCCGACCTCAAATCAATCTTGCTAAACACTCGAGCACCCACCAATTGGTCCATTAAGTCTTCTATCCTCAGAAGTGGATACCTGTTCTTGACTGTTACTTTATTCAACTGCCGATAATCCATGCACAACCTCATACTACCATCTTTCTTCCTCACAAGTAACACCGGAGCTCCCCAAGGTGACACACTTGGTCTCACAAACTTATTTTCAAGTAACTCTTCTAATTGCATCTTCAATTCTGATAATTCAGACGCCAGTATTCTGTATGGTGCCATAGAAATAGGTTTGGTACTAGGTACAAGATCAATT